TACTTCAGCCTCATTGTCACGAAGTAGACGTACATATGCAGGCACCAGATCCGTCCTTAATATAGAAGGCACAGTAAATAGTATCAAGAAGAAGTAAAGGGCATCATCGAGATGGATCAATAAAAATCAAACTTCCAAGTGCGTAATAACTCTGAAGCGGTAATCTAATGTTCAATTTAGAATGCATGTTATCTAATGGGCCTAAGGAACTTTATAGAGAAAAATAGTAATAGGTCTAACAAAAAGTTTCTTACCTAGTAGGCTCAGGTCCCACAGCTTCACAAAGCTCATAGAGCTGATTTGCAACCATATAACGCACACGCCAGGACTTGTCCTGCTCAGTAACAAAGTACCAAGGTTAAGCATCTCATAAGTGTAGCTTTCCCAAGGATCATTAGCATTATATTCTATATATTTTTCACAAATAATCACCTGCGAGAAACTAACAATCACAGGAAGAATGTGCGCGACACAGTCTTGGGGCTCCAACAATTTCCCAAGAGCAGCACAACCCTCAACGGCCAACAATCTAACGGAATCTTGATCTGATATGAAAGTCAATATGGAAAATAAAGAATTGTAAGATGAAAATAATGTTAGAAGACTAAAATGACGTATGGACAATCATATTCATGTTTGACTTCAGCTAATGCTCAGTTTTTACTGCATTAATTCCTGCTCCCCATAAAGATTTTACATCCGTCACCCGCAAAAGTAGAGTTAATAATGATTCGACAAATACATTCTTAACAAGCAAATCCACAGTGGGAACCACATCAGATAAGAAATTACCATCTTGAGTAAGCTCATCAAACATAGACATAATGTCTGTCTTCAAATGTGCTGACTCTACTGTAGCAGCAAATTTCCCCAGATTGGTTGCTGCAGCTCTTCGCACCATTGGCATGTCATCTTGACAGAGCTGGCTATATGTTGATCTTAACTCGGTCTTCAACACATCTGGGGCGCTTGGGTATGCAATATGGAAAACTCCACAAGCTGAGACTCTGGCTGTGAACCACTCACCAGCTGCAAGTCGCTGTTAAACACAGAGGGGATCTTTAGTAATCTCTTTTTTCAATGATACATTATGCAAAAAAGTTTTTTTTAGCAAAAAGCAAAACCTTAAACCAAGACAGTTACTTATGACAGACAACCTAGATCAACTAGTACGGACGTATATTCTTCAACCTAGCGATTTCTAATTCCCTTAGGGACTAAAAGGGGAAGACTGAACAAGGGAAAAAAGCAAATTGCCTATTCCAAAAATGTGAGAAGCAAACAAAAAAAATGAATATGCTGGATTCACAAGTCTAATTAAGCCGCTCGAGTAACATAAGAAATTAAACATGAAACTGATGAACGTAATAAAACCATGAGTTGAGCTCCTGCTTGTCTAACCTTAACCAATGGAACAAAATGAACGACCAAGTCACTCTCTCTCATCTGAGAACCAACTCTGCAAAGCGACTCTACAGCTTTCTCCCTCACACAAGTTTCTTCAACTGCTGAGAGAGTTTCCAAGGGTGGAAGCAGAACATGTGCATGCTCAACGCCTCCAACATAAGGAATAAACACTCCCAATTCTTCAGCCATCGCAAGCAGCACCTCATCATCATCGTCATTGTTTTCACTCAGAAAAGGGATCAACTCCTTTCTAGTCCTCTCCTCCCCAAGAGCACGGGCAATAGTAGATAGCCTTCTGATGGAATTCAATCTAAGCTGAATATCATCGTTCTTTAGCTCGTCTATAAGCACAGCGATAGGGTACAATGGCTCATCGACCATAGACATCCTGTCCAAACTTAATTCTCCCACCTTCAAGAACCCCTATAGCATAGAAAATCAGCAGAAAGTACGATGAGTAAAAGAAGATCGAAAATAATTAGATTATGACTTTACTTACGTCCATTCAACAAGCAATAGTACAATTTCCGAAAACAAATTAAAATTCACTCCCCATGTATGATCAGAGATAGCACAACACAACAGTAAAATCGATGTCTGGCGCTGATTATGATCCAAATGCAAACAATAGAAGAAACCTAACCCCAGATCTCAATCAAAAGTAAAGTTGCGCAGAAACAATTCTTAGGACATCATAATTCATAAATTAAGCGAATATATCACTTTTCCAACAATCAAATTGCAGTAATCCCACAAAATAAACACCACGAACAAAGATAATAAGAATCTGGAATTGGCTCCCCTATGTCTATAAGACCCTTTCCCATTTCATTTTGAAACAAATACGCCTCAATTTCGTCAAATTTTTCCGCAACGAAAAGACGAATTTTCGACCAAGAGACTACTAACCTCCAATTCTAAGAAAGAGAGAGAAGATCTAAACAATAACCAAGTATCCGAATTCTCCTATACGTTTGAAATTCGTTTGGGTTGAGTGACGATTTACCAGTTATGCCGCCTTCACAGAGGCTGTTGCAAAATTCTTCGAGCGATCTACCGATCAGAAGTACGAGACCGGGAAGACAGAGAGAGAAAGAGGAGAGAGAGATGGAGAGAGAGAGATGGAGAGAGAGAGAGATTTTTCCCGAAGCTCTTTCCTTCCCTAGCAAAGAGCATCTTCAAGCGTTCATTGAAGTGGGCCTGAAAGAAGCATGGGCTTGGCTTTTCTTTTTGTCGTTCTACCACAAATCTCAAGTGATGTTGGAAAAGCTGATAAAAATGTGTTTTTTTCCACGGAGGATTAATTAAATTTCAAAATTTCTTATTTGTAATCCTAGTGTTTTTGTTGACAACACGAGTAATAGAATTTGGATTTTTTTTTGTTTAATTTTAAAATGTAAATTTCGAATGCAAGAGAAAACATTAAATCCAATACAAGAGATATTCAGATGACAATCAAATTTTACATAATACAATAAATTTGATCAAGTACATTGACAAAATTATTTACTTATACTAGATACATATAAACAACATGTGTCATGTACTCATGTTTTTGAACCAATTAGCTAATTAATAAGCTTCATCGTCAAGATTGAGAAACAGAAGATAAGCAAGCAAACCAAAAACAGGAACAAACCTAAGATAACTCACCAACTCAGCCTTGCTCTTCTTCACATTTTGCAGATTCTCTCCAATCAGCCATGGCTGAAAGATTGAGTACAGACATATATCCCATATAAATGCGTAAGCTAGTCTCTCCGATCCCAAATAACCAATTAGATACTGCCATCTGTCCACTATTCCGCCGAAACCTCCATCTGCTCGACCGTAGAGAGACCACAATGCTGATACCAGACATACCGTAGCTCCGGTGAGACCAACAATCGGCGCTCCTCTGGTCATTGCTTCGCCAAGTCGAGACCTTTTGCTTGGTTTATCATCCGGGTCAGCGTCATTGAGCCGTAAAGCCATGTATGGGATTAGAAACGCTGTGTTTGCATTCACGAGATCAAAAGAACCGATAATCTAGTTTAGAGGTTTGCTTTTCTAGAGAGAGCTGAGCTTATTAGATAAAAAAAGAAGTTGTGTGTTACTGTTTGTGAGGAACATCATGAGACCCCATAAGACGTCAAGAGAGCTTTTGTATCGATCTCTCTTTCGGTCTGTGTATAGCAACGGAGCAAACATGAGTGTCCAAGCTATTACAAAGTTGAATAACCCTTCAGCCATCTGGTGACAGAAAACATAAACATTTTCAGAAATGTGGCGAGTAGTTTCACTAATACGCGAAAGAATCTGTTTTTACTTACTGGATGAAGAACAGGAGCTTCTAAGAAATGAATACCAACTGTTCTGCCAGAAATTCCAGAGCAAGAGATCATCATCAGAGGTCAAATAGGTAAAACCAAAATCAAAATAATGATCAGAGAATTGGTAGAACCTTAAGCTGAACATACCGGAGTTTGTAAGAGGCAAGACAAAGAAGAAATTGAGAGAAAGTCCCAAAAGAGAGTTCACTGTATCTGAACTAATAGCCCAAACTGGATCTCCCTGTTGATCAAAGAGACATTGTTTTCTGAAAAAAAGGAAACCATACAAGATGCATAATCCAAGATATAATTATCACCAGAAGCATATAAATACATGAAATTCTGCATAATTAATTGATCCCAATCTGAAGAGGAAGAAAAAGCATTCAAATAGAGAAATTGAAATGGTTCTATTCTTAAAGTGATCTAAATTACTCAATGTGATTTGGCAGTGGCTCAGAATTAATCTATACCTAATTTCCAGGAACTATGAGGAACGATTTAAACACAACGAGCAGAATCATGAACTCTATAAAATCGAGAGAATCACGCACAGGAGCATAAGGGAGAAGAAAGAGCCATAGTATGTACACAGCTTCGGTAGTCCACAGAAGATACCGAACGATTCTCCTCAGACGATCATCTTCAACCTCAACCGTCGCCGTCTCCATCTCCGGTTTCCGGCGAGCCAAGCATAAATAGGGTCTGTCTCGTCGTGCTCGTATATTGAAGCGATCCATTATCTGCCATCGATTGCAGCGATCGACGGTCGAGATTCCGATACTCCGACGAAAATGGCGGTGAATTTGCAGCGAAATGGAATGTGGAGTGTGGTGGCAGTGACGGAGATACGCCACCGACGGTGAGGCAATCAGAATCATATCGTCTTCTCTCCTTCCCTGCGTTATCCACCGTAGTCGGAGACATTTAATTTTTTATACGACCATTGAAACGATAGCGTATGGCCTTCCTATGATGAAAGTAAAACGACGTCGTTTTAGATCAACTCGATTTACTCCTTCTCGAGTGGGCTTTAACGGGCCTTGGCTCCTAAATGTAGGGTTCAAGTTTATTGATGTTATTCTTAAGACCAATTAAAAAGTTTCTCAAGTCTTGTTTATTGTGTTTAGGGAAGATACAAGCGATTGGGAGTTGGGACCGGTATATATTTGGTATGTTACCAATTGCGATATTCTCAGATTATATTATGTAGGGATCGTATGGTTGCAGAGTAATGAAGACTATCAGTAAATGTTTATAATGGGCCAACGAAACACTTTCTGTTTTCAAACGCGCATGCTTCATTATGCGAGATTTATTTATTCAGTAACCCAACCGGATTTGACGTTTTAAAAAAAAAGCGAACCGGATTCATAAGAACATATCAATGCAACAACATTACTAGGAGGAAGAAGAAAAGTTGCTCTGCTGCAACTGCAAGATGCCTTGGGAACGAAGAAAGGTGGTGTTGTCCTTGAGAAAAGCAGAGTACCAATGAGCAGAGAGTTTTGGAGATCTCTTGCGATGAGGATCGCTAAAATTCACAGAGTACAATCCATAACTAAACTCGTATCCGCTCAGTAATTCGTATAAATCCATGAAAGACCATACGAAGTAGCCTCTCGTGTTTGATCCATTCCTACACGAACACGTAGTATTTGTCTTTTTTCTTGTTTACTTACATTGACAAGAACAGAGATGATGATGCAACAAGAAAAGAGAAATTTTACTTACCTAACGGATTTGAGCACAGCACCAATGTAAGCATGCAAGAACTCAATCCTTGGTGTGTCCTGCAAATCTTGCTTTATCGGCATACCTATTCGTTTGAATTGACAAGAAAATTGAGCACACTAAGACAAAAACAAAAGAGAGAGAGAGAGAGAGAGAGAGAGAGAAAGTGAGAGAGAGACCATTCTCAAGAACGTAGACAGGAGGATTGCCATAACTCTGCTTAATATACTCTAGGACATTTTCCATAGCCCATGGCTCAACAGCATACTTGTCAAAAACAGAAAAAAAACAAAAAAAAAACTAAGAAAGATGGATTGATAACACTTGAGTGTTTGAAGACTCAACTGAATATAAGGAATTTTGAATCTGATATTTTCTTCAATAACTCTTACCTCGAAAGTTGTAACATTCCCAAAGACTGTCCTCCCAAGCAGCCAAAGGAAGCAGAGATGATTAGCAACAGAAACACAAAATGTCGAGGTAAAAAAAGATTTGAGTTTGGTTCCTACATGTGATAGACACGTCCATGTCTGAGAAGAAATTTGGGGCGGTTCCTGAAAGAGAAGAAGGCTCGGATTTGACAGTAGCAGAAAGATAGTGAATAACTCCTACGAAGTCAGAGGAGCCTTTAACTTGTTCTGATTCTTCCTCTGAGAAAACTGGCAGTCTTGATCCAACTGTTCTTTTCATCTCATCAGGATAGTCTCCGAATACAAGAGGCTCAAGCATCCTGCATTTTAAAGTGGCCCAATTTGAAAATGCACAAATAAAAAAAGGGAAAGCTTTTGGAACCGTTTGTGACTGACTCACCAGCCCATGAAGAAATCTCTGGCTCTTTGAAGTGCGATTCCATCATTCTTGGAGCTTGTACAAGGTTTAAACCCTATAGTAAATAGGCTTAATCCTACGGAACCTCCTTGTATATCCTGCACAATATTGTAGTTTACTCATATATTTGACATATCAACGATCACGTACACGTTCAAGACAGAGAGGTCTTGAAGCAAGTGTTTGTATACCTTGTACTTTTGCTTATATAGTCTTGAAACAGAGGCGTGTGCAAGCAGCAAGTTATGGCCTACGATATATGGTTCAGTCGAAGAGTTCCCTAAGGAGCAGTTTCCTCGTGATTGGGAGCAGCGACCAGGCGGTGAATTCCCATCGTTGTAACCCCCAACAGTGAATATGTTAGCCTCGTTTATCGTGGTCCACGATTTTACATAGTTCCCAAACTCTCTAAAGCAAATATCTGCGTAAGCAGTAAAGTCTTCGCTGCAATGGCAAATAACAACAACTTTCAACATTTTCTATAAGATAATATGTAAAAGAAACCAAGTAAATGCAGAGCCTTACATCATTCTCCGGTTGATCCATCCTCCATATTCATCTTCAAGATACTGAGGATGATCGTAATGATACAGTGTAACATGTGGTTCAATCCCTGTAATATGTTTGTTTAAGGATATAACTTAAGTCACATAAAAAAAAAATATGTAATATGTTTTGTTCAATCTATGTGGTCTCTCTTACCATGGCTTACAAGTTCTTGGATTAAGTTCTTGTAGAATTGCAGACCCTTTAGGTTAACCTGACCACTTCTGTCTTAATGAGATCACAAAAATTTCAGGAAACTTTAACCCTTCAAGTCAAAATAAAATTAAAAAAAAAATTAAAAATAAAAAACCGGGCAAGTGTGTTTAAGAAGAAGACTAACTTGGTATAAGCCTAGACCAAGAGATGGAGAATCTGAAGGCATCTAAGCCAGTTTCTACCATCAGCTGCACATCTTCCTGCAGAATCACACAACAAAATCCTTTCATGTCATAATAATAATATTAAGGGGCAAAGATTTTTGTAGTGTGGCTTGGTGAATAATAATAGAGAAAGAGATTAAAAGAAACCTTGTACTTGTGATAACCATCAGCTGCTATGTCTCCATTAGCTACGTTACCTGTCAAGTTTAAGACAAAAAAAAAAAAAAAGACAAAATTATCTTTCTGTTTTTGAGAATGAATTACAAGAATCCAAACTTGAATCCTCAAAATTGGTTCAAAATCTATCGATATAACTGATTAAAAAACAGAGCAAAATTGGCTCAAAATCTATCTATTAATCCCAATAGACACCAATAGCTAAACTCCAAAATTGATGTTAGAAAAATGTAAATAAATATCATATAGAAACTCAACTAAAAATCTGAAAACTGCTTACGAGTGTGAAGGTAAGTGTCCCATATGCTTGGTTTTCTTCCGTCTTCATCAACAGCTCCTTCCCACTTACATAGAAACAAACACAAATAATCTTTTACAAAACAAAAATCGGAGTGGGTTTGATTTGGAAGAACCAGAGAAGTTTTGAAAGAAACCTGATAAGCAGAAGTGCTGGAACCAAAAACGAAGCCCTTGGGGAAATCTTTCTTGCTGTAAACATGGTTGCATCTGACAGAAGAAGATAGAGCCAAAAAAATGATAGTCAGAAACAAAATCTGACCCATTTCTCAATCTCTGTCTCTCTGTTGGTGCCATGGCTCGTGGTATTAACTATAGAGTAGAGACTTTGACTCATCTCAGTACCTACCCCGCGAGAGATATTTGTGTGACGAAGAATCAAACAGCTGTCGGTGTAAACCTTTCTTTTTAATGCGTGTGGACCGTTATTTTATGTAAAATATTACTATGCAGCTTGCATTTCTTCTTTTTTTCCAACATATTTTTGTCCATTTAATTCATTACCTAACGGAAAGATATTTTTCTTTTTGAAAGTTTCTCATTTGTAGAAATAATACTACAAAAATAGAAAAATGATTTTATTTTTCTTTTCTAGTTACGATTCTATATTAAGCCACACACAAACTTAATTTGTCAATTTTAATATATCTATTTTGAGGGAAATTTTTACTTTATTTGTCCCAAATTTAGAATATCTGGTATACTCTAGAATTCCACGTTTTTCAGCATCTAGCGAGGAACTAAATTCGATTGTGATTGTTTGTAAGGGTTTGAGGCCAATGAAAATGACTATCATTAATACTATGTCGGTCACTTTTGTGAAACTAATAGAAAAATAGAAAGGTGAATCATAGAGTTGATTTTGGATACAAAATTATAAAGCATGTATTAAAGCCTTTGAGTTTATAAAATGTTGCAGAACTAATTTTTGTAAACAGATTTATTGATTTATATGATTTAGTAAAGTGTAATGAATGATTAAAACTTGCAAGACTAATTTTTCTTAACTTCTAGTATTTTTAAGTCTAATGGCCGACACTAGTAAATTCGCTAATGTGCTTAACAATTTGCTAGGAACGTTTCATAACTAAAGTAGACACACAAAAAAGCCGCTTAGATAAAGAGAGAGATATATTACGTTTGTATTATTGCTTTGTGTTTAGTAGAATACTTCATAAATCTTTGAAAAAAAATATATATTCAAATCCAAAAATTAGAAGTGATTAAATAAAATTACTTAAGTTATTGTCAAAAAAATTATCCACAAGAAATCCTATATGAAATATGGATTTTTAGGATTGTTGTATTTTTTTTAAGCTATGTTGCTGTTTGCATTTATCTTCTAGTCTGCCAAGCAAGCAATTCAAAAGTTTTGCATTCTTTTTTTAATAAAATAGCGCAGCTTGGTAGCGTGTTTTTTTTTTTTACAAAATGTCACGGGTTCAAATCCTATCATCCCTATTTATTACTGCTCTTCTTTCTAATTTTTCTGATCAGATTTCCGGCGCCGATATCGAAAAAGTGGGCAAGACCGCCGGAAGAAAGAAGCCGCCGCCGAAGTCTCCGGCACCGATGGGAGTCTCCCTGAAGAAACGAAGCTTCGCTAAAAGTCGGGCCTCACCAAAAACCAAGGCAAGAGGGAAAAACCCTAGTTCATGCCCAAGCCCAAGAGAGGAGAAGAATGATAAGCCTAAGAATGATAAGCCCAAGCTTGATAAGAATCCAAAGACCCAGAATTCCAAAGATCCCTTTTCAGATGATGTGGGTGGAGCCCAGAAACCACCAAACTAACCATAATGAATGTGATCGGATGGAACTGTCAGGACGCGGGAGCCGACCTGACAAAGGACCACTTAGAAGAATTACATGCTTGTTTTTTTCCTCGGTTTTTATTTTTATCGGAAACTAAGAACAATCGTTTTTTTATGCAAGATATGCAAATGTATTTCGGCTATGACAATGTTTTCACCGTTGAACCGAGAGGTCGAAGCGGTGGTCTAGCTCTTTTTTATATGGACGAACCTTCGGTTTCTATATCTTATTTGGATGAGCATTTGATCGATATTGAAACTTCTCTAGACGGACACAAAATTTTTATGACATTCGTCTACGGAGATCCGATTGTAAAAAATCGAGAACTAGTCTGGGAACGACTTACCCGAATGAGCCTATCCAGAAAAGAAGCATGGTTTATGATTGGAGATTTCAATGAAATTACAGGGAACCATGAAAAAAGGGGGGGTAGGAGACGACCTGAGAGCTCCTTCATCCCATTCTGGAATATGCTAAATGATTGCGGAATGCTTGATTTCCCTTACAAAGGAAACTCTTTTTCTTGGGTGGGAAGAAGACGCTAGGGCAAAGTTAAGTGCCGACTTGACAGAGCTATTGGAAATGAAGAATGGATGTCTATATTTCCCCATTCTTCGGTGGAGTATATGAAATTATGGGGTTCTGATCACGGACCAGTTCTAGCCTTGATCAAAATCGATAATTTAAAAAAGAAGAAATCATTCCGATTTGACAAAAGATGGATCGGGAAACCAGGATTCAAAGAGACAGTAGTTTCTGGATGGGGCCCTTTTGATGAAATTTCCCGTCGAGATTTTCATCAAAAGGTGACTCAATGTCGGAAAAGCATCTCCATTTGGAAGAAATCCAATCCCTCTAATTCGAAAAGACTGATAGAAGAACTAAGCTTCTGAGACTGACAATATTCTTTTAGCACAAGAAAACTTTCATGCTCTTCGTACCAATACGAAATGCAGAGAGAATTTTTTGGCAATCAAAACAGACATGAGTAAAGCATACGATCGAGTGGAATGGAGATTTATAGAAGCTCTCCTTACCAAATTAGGATACTCATCAAGATGGGTCAGCCTTCTGATGGCCTGTATCACTTCGGTCTCTTACCAGGTCCTGATTAACGGTGAACCTAAAGGAAACATTAAGCCATCCAGAGGTTTGAGACAAGGAGACCCTCTATCCCCTTTCCTCTTCATCATGTGTACTGAAGGTCTTATCTCTCTTCTCAAGGGTGCTGAGGAAGAAGATCGCATATCTGGGCTTAAAATAGCTCAAGCAAGCCCCCCGTGTCCCATCTTCTTTTCGCTGATGATAGTCTGTTTTTCTGTAAAGCAGATTGCCAGCAAGGAAAGGAAATATTTAAGATTATTGATACGTATGGAAAGGCGTCAGGACAACAGCTTAATCTGGGCAAGTCATCCATCATGTTTGGGAATAGAGTAAATCCAAACCTTAAACGGAATATAAAAAATGCTATCGGCATCACTTCGGAAGGAGGAATGGGTATGTATCTGGGACTCCCAGAACAAATATGCGGATCAAAGAAGAAAGTGTTCTCCTTCGTCCAAGACCGTCTCGGTAATCGGGTCAATAATTGGTCCGCTAGGCTTTTATCTAAGGGTGAGAAGGAAGTTCAGATAAAATCGGTAGCCCAAGCTGTCCCTACTTATATCATGTCGTGTTTCCTTCTTCCCAAAGGGGTGACAGACAAACTGAGTAGTGCCATAGCTAACTTTTGGTGGAGCTCAAAACAAAATAGCGGTGGTATCCATTGGATTGCTTGGGATAAGATTTGTATCCTCCAGGATATGGGAGGACTGGGATTTAGGGATCTAGAAGATTTTAACCTAGCACTGCTTGCTAAGCAGCTATGGAGACTCATCCAGTACCCGTCTTCACTTCTGGCACGAGTGCTAAGAGGACGATATTACCGACAATCGGATCCACTAGAGGACCGAAAAATCTACTCACCATCTTATGGATGGAGGAGTATGATGGTGGCCAAACCGTATCTCCAAATGGGAATCAGGAAGACAATTGGATCGGGACTTAACACAAGAGCCTGGAGTGAGCCGTGGATCCCCGATGAAAGAGCTCGACCCCCAAGAGCTGCCCCTCAGATTGGTTTTCAGGAACCAGGAATGTTAGTTTACCATCTTATCCATCAAGATACAAAGCATTGGGATGAACCTCTCCTTCGTCTTCTATTCCAACCTGAGGATGTCTCCCTTATCCATGGGCTGAGACCTAGCCGGAACCGGACCTTGATGGATATGCGTGGAACCATACTAAATCGGGGATATACTCGGTCAAATCAGGTTATGAGTTGATTAGGAGAACGAAGTTGGCTCAAAATTTGAATATCGTCGCAGAACCAAGTATCAAAGCCCTTCTTAGCTTCGTTTGGAAGATTCGGGCACCTGGAAAGATGAAGCATCTGATGTGGCAAGCCTTATCAGGTTGTATTGCTACTTGTCAAAATTTGACCTGTAGGCATATGGGATCGGATAAACAGTGCCCCCGCTGTGGGAACCCTGAAGAATCTATTAACCACCTCCTGTTTTTATGTCCCCCGGCCTTACAAGTCTGGGCGTTATCGGACTTTCCGTCCCTTCCGGGTCTCTTCCCGAGCACTTCTATTTATCAAAATATGAGTTTCCTCTTTTGGAATACAAAAGAGTTAGGCATGACAGATCCACAAAATGATTTTTACCCTTGAATCCTGTGGTATATTTGGAAAGCGAGGAATGACAAGATCTTTAACGGGAAAGAAATTTTCCCCGTAGACACTTTGATCCACGTCAAGATTGAAGCGGAAAGCTGGAAGACTGCAAACGAGCCGAAAGACGTTGAAGAGGCTGCATTATCGCCTACCCCCAGTCCTTCGCTCCGGACCTCTCCTCCAGATGACCAGCGGTTTCCAACTTGCCTGGTGGATGCATCCTGGATAGGTAATAGTCTGGTTAGTGGTCTTGGATGGAGCTTAAAGGAGGAAAAGAGTGGTGAAGTCTTTGGAATTCAAGGCTGCCGTCGGAGTTTCTCAGCTCTTCACGCCGAGCTGGAAAGCCTCCTATGGGCTATGTCATGTCTGATAGATAGAGGGGTCTTATATGTGCATTTTCAGTCCGACTGTTTGGACTTGATAAGAATGACAGAATCGCCATCGGACTGGCCATCCTTTTTATTAGAGTTAGAAGTCTTCCAAAACCTTCGAGGAAACTTCAGGATCTTCACTCTCTCCCACATTTCTAGAATTTTGAATACTCGAGCGGATACTCTAGCAAAAGGAGCTCGAGCGAAAGGCATTATCTTTTCCCAAATCATTCATAACGAGCCAATAACGGGAGGTTTTTCGAATCAACCTTTAAATTGGCCAATTGTGATGTAATAGTGGGTAGTAAAAAAAAAAAAAAAAAAGTTACAGTTCGGTAGAACGTGGAATGAAGGGAAGCTCTTCGAGCTTACGGGTGAGCTTCTTTGATTGGTAGGCGGTGGGTTATTTACTTTTTCTTTTAATTATTTTCAATGTTGTTTTCTTTCTTTTTTTCACTTGAAGAGAAGTTAACCAATAATATTAGGCCTACTAAAAACAAATTGAAAAACTATAGACAAATATGTTTTTTTTTACGACAAATCCTAAACATGTTTTGCAGGAGGATCTGCTGGAGAATTTGAAGCTTTTGGAGTATAATTGAAACGGCATTGAGTAAATTTATCTTTCCAATGGAAGATGTCGAAACATGTATGTGTAAATATTGCAAAGAAAAAGGTTACGAAGTTTTTCTCAAAAAAAATGAGGCCCTAGGCTCATGTTTCTTATATTACAATGTGTGTAATGTACAAATATCTAGTAGGACAACATCATTTTCCTGATAGAAGAGAGAGAAAGAGAGAAAACGGGCAACATTGATTGATTCACTTGCCAGTGATGAATGGGTGAGCTAATGCCTGTGAAACAGTCAGTCTCCTTTCAGGATCAAGGATGAACATTTTGTCCAAGAGATCCCTGAAATGACTTAACATCTTCGGATCCTCACCAGGGTATCCTTTAATAATTGAACCAAAATCTTTTGGCTTTACATTTACAATCATTCTCTTTATCATCTGAAAAAAAAGGAAAATATATAACTAAGGGTTAATCACCAGCTTATTAGTTTTACAAACTGCTTAGTAGTGCCAGAGAGAGAAACATAAGGAATGGCTCGTTTACCTTCCCACTAACAGTGTCCTCCTCTGTAGCGTAAAAGTTCAAGTCGTGATCAAAGTGCTGATCAATAAATGCTCCCTGTTGAACCGAAAGCACAAAGATAAAGAACAAGAATAGAAAAGCTGCAAATAACATCTCCACCCCTACATAGTCTATTCTTCTTTCTAATTCTCCAAGGAAAGAAATCATTTATTTTGACTACTTTAAATACTTACTTTGCGAAGCATCTTTTTGGGGAAGGGGCCTTTCAGTTCCATATGAAGGCGTAACATATCATTATTTGTGGCGCCAGGGAAAAGAACTTTCCCGCAATAAAGCTCATATAGACAGCAGCCAACCGACCATATATCCAGCGGGTGGTCATAGGCGAGCCCCAGAACTGCCAATGAATAATAGAAGCTTCAATCAGACGTTATCTTAGCAACAAGCAATGAAAATGTTCGCTAACAATCCAAAAAAAAATATGATAATCCTCAATGCAGATAAAACTTACTGATTTCAGGGGATCTGTAAAAGCGACTAACAAGATATGGCGTAACTTCATTTTTTCCAGCAAACATTGCATTACCGAAGTCACAAAGCTTTAACACGTTTTTGTTCTCATTCACCTGAAAGAAAAAAAACAGTGTAATTGTCAAACTATTAGAGAGCTAATGAATCAATTATGAGAAACCACAGAAAAAGTATAACTAACCAGCATGTTGTCAGGCTTTATATCGCAGTGAAGAACCCCACAATTTTTCAGATGTTTAAGGGCAATGAATAGCTGCTTTGAATAAGACCTAACAGCAGAGAGTTTAAGGCCAATGTTGCGGCCAAACTTCTTCAAGACCTCACGAAGATTCAAATGGAGCGACTCAAACACCAAGCAAAGGTGATTCCGGTACTTAAAACTTGAAAGAAAACGAACACAGTGGCGCTTGTCATCTCGGTCAGCGCCAGCCAGCTTCTTCAATATCTGAACCTCAATCTGGCCAGCTTTATGCCTAAATGAAATGTGATATAGTAATTAGTCGAAAGAGCATAAAGATGATATATCAGATATTGCATAGGAATTTGAAGAATTAGTCAGGGCCTATAGAATGCACCACCTACATTGTCTCGTTGTTACGAATAATTTTTATAGCAACTTCTTCGGGTTCAGCTGGTCCAGCTTTTAAATCTTTTGCACGAACCACAGTAGAGAAGACACCTTTTCCATGAGTAGCAATGACTTCATATCTACCGTCAAGTAGCTCGCCAAACTGATAGCCTAAAATGGAGAAGAGACTATTCTTTAGATGAAAAATTAACAGAGGGGCCTTAGCGAGTTGAAAATATGAGAAAAACACTGTATGAAGTGGTCACGAAACCATAAACTGGTGTTAATAAGTTGGAATAAAGCTCAATATACATAGAAAACAAACTTACTGTAGTAACCCTCTGCATCATCCCAATTATCATGAAGGCCGCTCCTTACCATCGGAACACCATCACCTTTCCCTCGCATGAGACCCTAAAAGAAGAAGTTTTATATATAAGGAAAGAAGAAAAGACTAAGAACCCTCACACAACAAACAAAGAATTTATTAGGATCAGACTAGTAGATTCATGGCGATAAGAGAAATCTAACTATCTAAGATGATAACATCAGAAGACTAGTGGACTTCGAAGTTCGAACACAATAGGTCAAACGATGTCAAGTATTGAGTTAAATACATACCACTTTCCGATTACCAGCTGGGGACTCTCCAAAAATATCATCATGAAACATGTCAGCTGATCCTTCACTCTGGAAAAACAAAATTAAAAAAGATCGATTAACATCAAAATCACAACCACACACGACACCAATACCAAAGAAACAATAAGGTTTCGTTTAATAACGCACCTTCGGGCTACCTTCACCAAGCCCCGCTGGAGCTTGAGTCTTCTCTGAGTCTGAAATTCCAAACGTAGTAGGTGGCCCACCAGCTGTTAATGATGTCTTGGCAACATCACCAACTACAACATCATTCTCCGAGTTAGCTTTAGCAAGACCAGCATTAGCAGCTACGACAACTGCAGAAGAGGCTGAATGTGGAGCACCAATTTCTTGAACATCTGGCACAGAAACAAAAGACTCATTGAGACTGCCTGGAAGCTCAAAAGCTCAAAAAAGTTTGTAAAAAATCTCAAAAGCATGTGGGAATCATTGAACGAAGTCTACAAAGCCGTTGAGTATTGGAAACAGGCTATAACGCTTACTCCTGGATTATCACTTATTTGCAGATATTCTGTTGCCATTCATGCATACCAAGTTGAGCGGAACAGCCGCGTTGTTAAATGAGTGGTTTTGATACACAAAAAGCAACTGATTTTTAGATTCACGAGCTACATCTTAATGAACCAAATGAAACACGTCGAAGGAATTTTATTTACAGCTCCAAACGCAATTAAAAAGTCGTTATCCATATTTATTGCAATAAAGGAGCAAAAATTACCTGTACCCTTGCCCTGAGACAAAATTTCATTTTGCTGCTCGGGCTTCTTCTTATATTTCTCCAGTATGGCTTCCATTCGCTTCCTGCTCTCCTCTTTGATTCTATTTAGTTCTGCTTCTTCTTCTTCTTCCGGAAATTCCCATATAACTCCTTCGTCATTATCTTTTTGATCATCCTCATTTCTATACATGATCGCAAGATAGTTAAGAGCCAAACAAAATACAAAAAGACTGATCATATATAACATAATATTCAGAAGGGGTAGGCTTACTGAAAATTTACCTTTCACCGTTCTCCACATCAACACTTTTATACTTGTCTCTATCAGTCTGGATTTCTCTTCCTTTGTCACTTTCCCTTTCTTTTTCTGTCTTCCTCTCTCTGCTATTATACCTGGTTCTATCTCTACTCCTACCTCTTCCATTGTCTCTATCTCGTAAATAATCTTCTTCCCTCTCCCTTCTCCTATCCCTGTCAATGCTCCTACCTCTTTCATTGTCTCTATCTCGTCCTTCCCTCTCCCTTCTCCTATCCCTATCAATGCTGCGCTCTCGTTCCTTGACTTTTTGCCTTTCACGGTCAGCATCTACCTCTCTTCTTTTCTCTCGTTCTCTGTCCCTCCTCCGATCACTATCTCTCTCTCTCCGTTTACTTCCTTCTGAATCCCTATCTCTTATTCCCTCCCTGTCCATATCCATCTCCTTACTTCTTTCTTTTTCCAAGACTTCTCGACTATACTGCCTGTCATCTTCCTCATATCGCCCACGTCGATGGTATTTTTCCTCAGTCCTCCCTGAGTCAACTCTGTCATGACGATAATCCCTACTAGAGTCATGATGTCTTCCTCTGACCGAAAACTCATCCGCCGCAACAATCCTTGATCTTGACATTTCCCTCTCCGGATCATGTGACCTAGATCTACTCCGAGCACGAACTTCGTTAGACTGCCTGCTGTTTGTCGGAGACCGGTAACTAGTCATATGTTTCTCTTCAGAGTTTTCCGAAGAAAATGAGCTCCTACCATTATCATAACTTCTCTTACCGACTCTCTCTGAAGGACCTCCAGATTCTTTATACCACCTCTTGTCCTCCCTTTCAGATTCACGAGTTAGAACACCATTAGAAGTCTCGGCATTTATCCCATCTACAGGCTGCAAAGCACCGCCATAAGATTTGAGAGAACTTATCAGAAGAGAGATATATGGGATATAAAAAACGCATGAGCATACATTAAAAAAAAATGGAAAAGAACATCTACATAATCGCGAAACCAGTTCTTACAAATCAAGGGAAAGCCATCAGTCTCCATTGAACGCCTAGTGCAACTGCTTTCTTACATATGCAATGAAACACTCAGGTTATCTAAAGAAAAACCCTCAAAGACCACAGCTTTCGTTAAATAAAAGCAAATTCAGCTTAGTATAGAGGCATAAATGCTGTTTGGATACTGAGTTGCGTATTAAAAAAAAATCAATGGTTTCAGTCAAACCAAAATTCACCCCTCTAATCCCAGCATCCAAACAGAATTTAAACCCTAAGAAATTGGAAACATTAGAAGCAGAAGGTCGAATAGAACAGACCAGATCATTGGCTTGAAATTGATCGGATTTGATTTCTCCTGACTCGCCGTCGGAATCTGAATTCTTGACATTGGCAATCCCCTCTTCATCTAGAATCTCCCCCTCCTCGACGTCATCCTCACCGCCGTTACTAACTCCAATCGGAGTGGCATCCTTCTTCACCTCCGTCTCACCGCCGCCGGATGGAATTTCATCGTCGCGCTTCTTATCACGGTGATGTCGGTGGTGGCGCCTGTGGTGGTGCTTGTGATGACGGTGCTTGTGCCGCTTAGATGATTTATCGGCCTCGTCGGCCGAAGAAGGCGAACGGTGGTGCTTGCGGTGATGAGATTCGATCTGCTTGTCGTTCGCCATCAGATCGTTGAAATTAGGGTTAGGGCTCAAGAAAATTCGGTTGATTTTGCTTCCCCTCTTTCTTTTCTTTCTCTCGCTACGAATTGCGCGACTGGTCTCGAATTTCTTCTCCTAAGCATCTTTATATTAAAAAAAAAAAAAGAATATATATGTATGTATAGGACACGCGTACGTATGTAAAATAATAATTATTTGATTTGATACAACAAAATAGAGTATTTATATATTGTATATACTTCTGGTTGGTCACAAAAAAAGGTTACAATTATGTAATGTTAAATGACAAATAAATGTTGAAAAAAAAAGATGACAAAAATCTAACACTTCATTGACTAAAAGAAAATTAGGAGTAGATGTTATTTCATATAACACATATAATACAATATACACCTTTCTTTAATTTGACTAAAAGAAAATTAGGAGTTTATTTTGGCAGAATCATTTATTTTGAATGTCCTTCTTTGGTAGAATCATTTCTACTTTTCATTATATTTGGGTATATGCAGATATGGAAAAAAAATTAGGAGATCTCTGAAAACACATTGTAAATTATGGATTTGGTTTTCAAAAGTTGTTGTCTCTCTATGGCCTATTTAAGCTTTTGAGTCTCAGTACTACAACAGCCTCTAAAAACTTGAATGCATGATGACAGTACTACAACAGCCTCCAAAAAACTTGAATGCATAGTGATTTAACGTGTAAAATCTAAAATATCCAATTAAATTTGTGTTAGTCTTTGATCCGAATAGATTATTGATCTTGGTCAGGAACTTCTTGGTTCAGAAAGAAAACACTTTGACTACCCACAATTTTTTTTTTTTAAATAGGTTAAAAAGAAAGCAAGAGAATCTTACATATTCTAAAATTTGAACTCCATACTTTTTTTTGTTGGTTCAACGAACTCGATACTTTCATGTATACGTACGTTTATATCTAAACTTAGGGAAGAGAAACTCTGTTTTGGATTATAATGTATCGATAAAAGTAGGGGAACATACTAAACATTAGTACATTACATGGACAATATCAAACTAGATATACGTGTATCATGTATTATATACACTTGTTTTTTCTGATGGTTTTTACATACTGTATGTTTATACATTTTGGAGGATAAAAGAACAAACTAATTAAAGAGAACTAACACAACAATGGTGTGGTCATGTGATCAGGTTGTACGGAATATTCTTGCGGCTGTTCATATGGTGGCTCGTGCTCGTATCCTTCAGCTTCTCCACCGTGGCCGCCGGTGAGATCTTCAATTTCGAGAATCTCAACCCTCCGTTTCATCTTCTTCTGCAGTTTTACTGCAACATCCGACGGTCTAAATCGTCCGCAAACAATTATCCTGCGTTCCTTTTTTTCGATCATGTGTGTATCAACTTCTTCATATATCGAAAACATGTATTAGTATTGCATTTTAATAGCTATAGAGATCGTCGATGACATATAGATAAAAACAAAAACTTGTATTTATATGTTAGAAGAACAAAAATTTTGGAGGAATACTATTTTTCATATTACCAAACGATGGATTTCCAACTTTCCAACCCGAAAATATTACCAATTTATACATTTGGCCACCAACCAATGGGTTTTTCTTTTGTCATACTTTATATCAAAAAATGTATTCGTAAGCAAAATAAACTTTCACAAATATCCCGATGTTTAGCAAGAGAGAATTTGTTTAGCTTTGTATCTACAACATATTCTACCTGAATTTATTCGAACTTACCAACCTTTCATATTGATGACAATCCTCCTTACTTTTCTACAACAAGCATTGCAATCCAAGTTAATCCGCATCACAGCACAACATAGCCTCTGCATTTCACCATCAAACATAAACCCCCCCCCAAACAAATCTAATTAATAAATCCAAAACGTGTATCGTTCAAATGAAAGCAAAAAAAAAAAACCTTTTCCGACATTGGAAGAAAGAGCAAACCAAATATGCTCTATGATTTTTTTTTTTTTTGGTCAAGAGAACACAAGATTATAAATTAAGCTTTTGGAATCTGATTCTCTAACTTAAGTTGAGCAGAGAAGATTTATAACAAAACCAGTTTTGTTATGTTACCTATTAGGCATTGAGAAGCATCTAATCAATTATTCTTTGTTTGTAGATGGTTTTACGTAACCGGAGATAAAGATTGAAATTAACCTGGTTTAATCAACCGGTTCTTAAATACCAACTGATACAAAAATGTAGGTGAAGACGCTTAACGAACTTCGACCTCGTCTTCTCCGTCCACTCCACTCCTCTAAATCTCTCAGATCTCTCTCTCTCTCTCTTTGTGATCATCGAGCAACAACAATGGCGGTTTCTTCTTCTTCGTTTCTATCGACGGCTTCTCTCTCCAATTCCAAATCCACCATTTCATTCGCTTCCTCCGTCTCCCCTACGCCTATCCCTTCCCTCCGCCGCGTCGTTTTCCGCTCCTCGATTCCGGCGTCTTCTCACCGGAGAGTCATGACGGTCCGATCCAAAATCAGGGAAATTTTCATGCCGGCGCTCTCTTCAACAATGACGGAAGGGAAAATCGTATCCTGGATCAAAACCGAAGGCGAGAAACTCGCCAAGGGAGAGAGTGTTGTCGTTGTGGAGTCCGATAAGGCGGATATGGATGTAGAAACCTTCTACGACGGTTATCTCGCCGCAATCGTCGTCGGAGAGGGAGAGACAGCTCCGGTAGGCGCTGCAATTGGATTGTTGGCGGAGACTGAAGCTGAGATCGAAGAAGCTAAGACCAAAGCCGCATCGAAATCTTCCTCTTCCTCTTCCTCTCCACCCGCTGCTGCGGAGGCCCTTGTTCCATCTCCTCCTCCTGCTACTTCATCTCCCGCGCCGGCGATCGCTCAGCCGGCTCCGGTGGCGACGGTACCAGATGGTCCGAGAAAAACCGTCGCGACGCCGTATGCTAAGAAGCTCGCGAAACAGCACAAGGTAGATATCGGATCCATTGCAGGAACTGGACCATTCGGTAGGATTACGGCTTCTGACGTGGAGGCGGCGGCAGGAATTGCTCCTTCCAAATCCACCGTGGCACCGCCGCCTTCTCCTCCTCCGGCACCAACAGCTACGGCGGCGACGGCGAAACCTACCACCACTAACTTGCCTCCTCTATTGCCTGATTCCAGCATTGTCCCTTTCACAGCAATGCAATCTGCAGTTTCCAAAAACATGATCGAGAGTCTCTCCGTTCCCACATTCCGTGTTGGTTATCCTGTGAACACTGATGCTCTCGATGCACTCTATGAAAAGGTGAATCGAATGAAACATACATTGCTCTGAAGTTGTATCAGCAAATTCTAATCACTGAGATTTTGTTTTGTTAACAGGTGAAGCCAAAGGGTGTAACAATGACCGCCTTATTGGCCAAAGCTGCAGGGATGGCTCTTGCGCAGCATCCTGTGGTGAACGCAAGCTGCAAAGATGGGAAGAGTTTTAGTTACAATAGTAACATTAACATTGCGGTTGCTGTTGCTATCAATGGGGGGCTCATTACGCCTGTTCTACAAGATGCAGATAAGGTAAGGAATGCTATGGAAGATTTAGAAAGTAGCTAGCTTGTGATTGAATACACTTTGAGTCTTAGTTTACTGAATGCGAGTGATGTTGGGTTTTTCTTCTAGTTGGATTTATACTTGTTATCCCAAAAATGGAAAGAGCTGGTGGGGAAAGCTAGAAGCAAGCAATTGCAACCTCATGAATACAACTCTGGTACTCTTCTTTGATAATGGTTGTTCATATGCTTTCTGCTACATCAATTGGGAAGTGTCTTTAGGGATTGTGTCATAATGCAGGCACTTTCACTTTGTCGAATCTCGGTATGTTTGGAGTGGATAGATTTGATGCAATTCTCCCGCCAGGACAGGTATATGAAATCCTTTTATGGCCTCATCTCAAGATCAGTGATTACTGGCGATTCGCTAATGTTTGTTGTAATTTAAATATCTAGGGTGCTATAATGGCTGTTGGAGCGTCAAAGCCAACTGTTGTTGCTGACAAGGATGGATTCTTCAGTGTGAAAAACAAAATGCTGGTAAGTCTGAATTTGGCTTCCTCATGGGTCTGGTGAATCCTTTTGATTCACAAAAACTTGAAAGTAGTCTCTCGTTGGTTATCTTCAAGAGATTGCTATAGCTTTTGATAAATGTAGGAACTTTCTTAAAAAACAATGAAGGTTCACATTCTGTTAACAATAACTTTGGGTTTGGTTGTGTTGGCAGGTGAATGTGACTGCAGATCATCGAATTGTCTATGGAGCTGACCTGGCTGCTTTTCTTCAAACCTTTGCAAAGATCGTTGAGAATCCAGATAGTTTGACCTTATAGACGCCAATGTCTAAACTAAAATTGGACACGAGAGACGAACAGTTTCCAAACTTCCTCAACCAATTTTTTTCTCTAGTAAAAAAGAAAAGATTTTAGTTTTTAATTGTTTCACTGTCCTTGTGTCTTGTTCTTCTTTTGCAGCTTGCTTGGTTCACTTGTCTTGTGTCTGTATTTTTTGGTCTTTGTATTTTGTTTTCCGGAATAATCCATTTTGGTTTTTCACACAAATAGTTTCCGGTTTAAAATGGTAACCAGAATCGGCCTCTCAGAAAAATGAATAGATGCGGCCCATAATCTGTCATCTCTAATGGGCCTTTGGTTAATATATTTCATATGTTACATTTTTCCGAATTCAAGGCCTTACTTGCAGTTAGATAATGGTTGTTTTCCGAAGGTAGCTAGCTAATCATTATGAACATCTATGCTATGACTAGAATAATTTATAAAAAAAATAATGAAAATAGTACTATGAGTCTATGTCTACGAATTGGTTTGTCTATCTACCCGTAATGACTATTGTTTATGCTAAAATTTTACTTTTCATTTTTTCCTTAAGTATTTTATTTAATACTTTCATAATAACAACTTAATAGTATTTCATCAAATTATGATAAAGAACTATGAATTTACTAGTGATGTGAAATTATTTTTTTATTTATGAATATATGAATAATTTCAGGGGATTCTGATATAAAATTAGAAACATCGTTACACACCAGAAGGAAACAAAAACTTATGATATGATATGAACAATGCTTAATCTGAGATTATAAAATATGTTATTAAATCCGTGAAAATACTATAAAATTTAACATTAACAAAAGCTAAACAAAAGGATGAAGATAATTAAAGACAAACAGAACATATCCTGGAAAAAAGAGGAAAAGGGATTCTGATAAGCTTAATCTAAGCTATTTACCACACTACAAATCTGATTTTCTCTAAAATCCTAAAACTCCTATTAAAAATATATAGATTCTCTATCATTTAAACATTAGGGAAAGAAAAAAAAAACGGGCCAAACGCTTCACAATACGCCACCGTTTCATTTCCCGCTTTAAAAAACTCCGGAATGTTGTTTACTCCGCCGGTAAAGACTCTGGCCGCAATGGAAAGTGGTCGCCGGGATCTAGATAATCGGAATATTCGAAGAGTCCATCATCCAGTTCAAAAGATCCAAAACCCGTAACATGATCCTCAAATCCACATAAATCGCCGACTTCCGATGTATCAGACGAAGCTCGTACCAATTCCGTCACCGTCACCTCCGTTTCATCACACGACGGAGCAGGAAGCGTCGGTGGTGGGGGTGGCGGCGGAGGTAAGCCCAGCTCGTCGTCGGAAGCTTCGAAAAGATACCCGAGATCCGGCTGAGTCTCGCCGGAGACTTGCGCCGTCGTGGTCGACAACTCATCCTCGAAGCTTTTTATCACCGAGTCAAGATCTTGAATCGATGAGTCATGACCCGAGTCATCGAACAAATCGTCTCTCAGCCGCTTTACGTCAGGCGAGTCGAGGCCTGACTCGTCAAACTCGTGTCTGACTCGCTTCTTACTAACCGAGTCAGTCCGTGTTAGACTCTCCTCGTCAGCCAATAAATCCTCCATAACTTAACCGAATACGGTTTATTTGTTGGTTTAGGTGGTTACGTTATGTATTAAATCAGTGGCAATATCGAAATTAGCGTGAGATATCGGTGCAGAATTGGAAGGAGGGAAACGCGAGATTTTATAGTGGAGACAAGAGAGAAAGATATGAAGAGATTAAAAAGTCGGTAAAGAGAGAGGGAGAGAGCGTGATTTCAGACGCAGACATAGGCGCGTGGAATAGCGAATCGTTTGGCCATCACGGATCTCTCGCTTTTTTTCATATTTTTGGTTATTATTTTTTGTTTATTTTAGGCCCTTTTCTGGTTTTATTTATCTATTCTTTTTCTTTTTTAGTAATTTTGATTTCTCTTTAAATTTTGTGTCGCTTTCTAATTTTTTTAAAGGTTATTAACTGGTTTGGATTCGGACTTAAAATCCGGTACGTTACAGTATACACGTGCTCGGTGCCTCGGTCAATTAGGCTCCGAGTCAATAAATATTTAGTACATTTTTTATTATAATTTTAGTAAAAATACACTAAACACCGTTTTCTTATAAAAATACCGACCTTCTTTGGAAGTTTACCTAGCAATGACTTATATATATAATATGTGATCGTGTAGACCAGTAGAACACTCGAGGACTTGTTAACCATTATTTGCCAGTTTTAACTATCTTTCTCTTTTAACTTTCCACGTATTTTTATTATTGATAAACATATTTAATAGTAAACTAGTTAGTGGAATATTTTCTGATACAGGTTACCGTAATTTTAAAATCTATTATTTGTTTAGTCAATGTTTTTTTGTGTTTACAATGAAATGTTGATTCGACTAATTTATAGTATAAAACCGGAGGTGGAGCGTGTTTTGTTAGTGATAAGTCATAAGTGATAACTATTTGATGTGAAAATATTTAAACTATTGATGTAAAAATATTTAAACTATTGATAGTACATATATCATATATGTGTGTGTGTGATTGTGTGCTATCTTATGTGTATCAGTGTATTGTTGGGGGAAATCAATCTTTTTGTGATCAGTCTATAGATAGTTTTCTTTTTAATACACATAAGATATAAAATATGTGTTTACGACGTTTAAAATTTTGGTTTTTGGACCACGAAATTTGGTCAGGAATAAAGCGACTGGAAAACATCGAAAAGAAAAACTGATTTAATTTACATTGGATCTGAAGAAAAAAAAAACATTCACAGCTTACTCAACTGTTTGTGAGCTATTTAAAAAGGAAAAAATGAAAAAAAAAAAAATCATTAGATGAGAATTATGAGTGCGCGCAAATCGGATGTAATTTCCGGATGAAAAGAGACTGAATTTTACAGAAAGTGGCCCCAAAGTAGTAAACACGCAAAATTTTGAGACCCGCTTAGTTGAATACGCAACATAAACTCGCAGTCTCCCAGGCTTTATTTCCTTGATTGTCATTTGTGCCATATGAATTCTCCAAAAATATAACAACCCGATAATCAAACATATAAATTTACAAGATTGAAAATAAAAATAAATTAATTAAAAAGACAATAAGAAACTTTATAAAAATAGACTAGTATAAATCTCGAGGATGTGTGTGAAAACAAAGAATCATGTAGAATTGTACAACATATCACGTGAGTACAAAAAGCAAATCAAGTACACACACTTCCCACCATGAATCACGCTGGTCCCACCATCCTTAATTACCATCACCCCTCCACATCTAATCGATTTAGTTTTGGATTACCAACTAATTTATTCGGTGAGAAACTCCTATGTATATATGATCATTTTATTATATTTACGTGGTACGAAATATTAATCTAATCTTTTTACTTCAGTGATCTAGATCGATCTAGCTCGAGATAGATCGAGATAATCGTAAAATTTTAAGATATTTGGATTCGGATTTGATAATTTAAAATGGATCCAGAAAACATAATTTTAAAATATCATGAAATAGTTTATTTTGTGATTTAATTTTAAACACCAATATTTTAAATTGGTTGTAAATATTGCGGAAGCACTAACCAAAATCTTAAATATATTGCGAAAGAACTAATCACGAACCATGATTATTGTATTAAAAAAAATAGGTCATTCAATATTCTTATTTTTTTTTTTTTAACTCTAATTACATATTTGAAAAGTGGCTAAAATATAAAATGAAACAAACAGTTCAAAAAGTGAGAAAGAAACATGTAGTTAATTTTACTTTTTATTATTATATTTAGCTAAAACATGTGTTTTCAAATACATTAACGTCGCATAGTTGATTGGAAGCGCATTATAGAAGTCGTAGTGGTAATGGTAGTTGGGTCTTGATATACGGAGTGTCTCCTTGGTTAAAATTTTTAAACTACCAGCAATTCAGATATGTGGTTGTGACTTCTTATTGTACAAAAAGCACGATAAATGGTTCATTTACGTATAATAGACTCCAAATACAAAAATTCACCGTTTGCCTATTTTGCATAATCTGAAATTGTCCGGTACATAAGCGTGAAACATTTAAAGTGATTCTTTAACCAACCACTGAAAAAAAAGTTGCATAAAATTATTCTTTCTTTTTTTTTTTCTAAAAACATGTTCTCATCTTTTGCAAAAAACTTTAATTTTTTTTTTTTTTTAATTTTCATTTTTATGTAGATGCGAATAGTGACTTTCCACAGACACATGATATCGAGCAGGTTTTAGTTGTGTCCTAACGTCCTTTGTGGTCCTTAGACAAATAATTGTTCGGATGAGAGAACAAGGAGGAATTAGGCCCATCGATTTAGGTTGCATCAATTATTGTGATCCTCTGAACAAATATCAGTAGGCTGTGATTCGAGCTGATTATACATCCACGCCCATATTTTAATTTTCAATATGAAAAAGCAAGAACTTACGAAATGTTTTTAGATTGACCAGTAAAAAATACCGATAGTATAAGCTACATGATCGAATGGTATTTGTAGTGAGATTATTAAATTAACATGTTTTGGTTTCGGGTACAAAATGATATACAGTTATACTTATACAGCTTTTGAAGAAGCTCTTAATCAAAAAAACTATACATGCAAAACCTCAACTTTTATAATTTTCTGTTTCAAAATGTAAAACGAATCAGTATGTCTTTAACAATGCGTCCATAACGAGTCGATTTATATCGCTATGGAATTTTTTTTTTTTTTTTTAAAGTAAGATAGAGTTAGATGTTTATATAGACAAATCAAATATGAAGGAAAAAAATATAGTATAACTTTTATAAATTAATATAAATTAATAGTTCGATAAATTAATATATTTTTAAGTTTCAAAATAGTTTTTTAAACTGATTTTTATATCGATAAATTAATATTTTAATAAATTAATAAAATATTGTAATGATATTATTAATTTATAGAGTTTTTATTGATCCCAGTCTGATAACAGTTAAACTAAATAAATAAACAAAACGTTTAAATCATTGAAACATATGGCTAGAACGTAATGGTCAATATGTCAAATGATATGTAAGTCTAAAACGAGTTATCTAAGAAGAATTTTTTTTTATTTGATCACATACAGAGAGCATACGTGCTCCAAAAACAGTTAAGCTAAATGCATATAAAAAAAGCGTTTAAAAATTATCGATATTTGTTACAAATAAAAAATAAAAAATTATCGATATTTATCGTTGCAGTGTGAAATATGTAATGCAATACGTAAAGTAATATCTAAGTCTAAAAACGAGTTATCGAAGAAGAAAATTCATTTGATTTGATATGCGATGAATGATGATCATGTTTACTAAAGCATGTTCTTTTCTAATAATCATGTTTCGAAGTTGTTTTTGTATGAATATATCAAAGTTTTTGGTAGATCCCATTAAAAACCCACAATTCCTACCAAAATTCATATTGTTTTCTTCTTAATACAATTTTTTTTTTATCTTTTAATAATGTCGATTCTTTACCATAACAAGAAAAACAAAATTATGACACAGCCTAACATACAAAGTAATTTCTACATTAGGTGATTTACAGTTCTACGTAGTTTTAACCAATCCTATGCAATCGCAGTGATCCTGTGTTTTTTTTTTTTTCATTTTTGACATTCGTACTCGTACTCTTTTGTAGTATTTTCACTAGTAATCGTTTACTCGCAACGTCTATAACCGATTCAATATAAAGTTACATATTCAATTAGTCTACATTACTACTAGACAGAAATAGTCAACTACTCATATGAATAACAATAGTTATTTACATCACATTGGTAGTTAATTTACAGTAGCTAACTATTTGACTTTTGTTCGTTTCAAGGGATATGTGTACTCTTCGACAATCCGAACCCACACCGTTTGCAAATAATGTGCTTCTCCAGATTAGTGATGCATTCGTTGATATTTTTGAAAGAGTTGGTCAGAAATCTGCCGAAAATGCTTGTTCATTTGCTTGTTCATGTAAATTTCTGACAGTTCCATCATCTTTTTCGTTGTTATCGATATCTGGTTCTCTTTATTTTGTAGATCTAGAGTAATTAACTATTTTTATATGCATACTGAGTAAATAGTAACTACATTGAATATGGTCATTAGTAATTGCCTACTCTTATCATCTATAACATAAACAATAAATAACTACTCCATATTCAGTTAGTCTACATAACTACTATGCACATATAACCAATTACTAATATAATTATCGGTAATTAACTACGTTATAACAGTAATCAGTTTACAATAGCTAACTTTTTGCCATTTTTCCTTTGTAGGGATATGTGTTCTCTTCGACAATGTGAACCCACACCGTTCGCGAATAATGTGCTTCTTCAGATTCGCAACTCGTTAATGTGTTTGTAAGGGTTGCTAGAGAATCTGCAGAAGATGTGTTCATTTGCTTATTCATGTAAGGTTTTAAACCAAACATTCAAGGAACCATCTCTCATCTAGGCGCTCAACCTATTTGCCTTCATTAAACGTCTCAACTTAATGAAGTGCTACCCTGAATTCTTTGAGTCAGCGAAAATGGATAACTACCAATAATCAAATTTTAGAAGTAGCTATCTAATCGAAATAGACAATTATTAATACTTACTTTTAAGTATTAGAATCAACTTTGAGATGTATGGAGAAAATAGACAACTACTAATAATCGACTTGGAGTACTACCTATCTAATCGAAATATGTTACAAACTAGTCAACATCTCTGCGTCATTCAAACGAACCTTCATTTTAAACATAGTCACCTACTAGTCATTTTTTACTAGAAATCTGAACACAACAAACAAAATAATTAGAATTAAAAGGGACGTCTACACTGAAGTGATAGATGACTAATTGGTATATGTCTATTTACTTTCAACTTGGTGCA